TTTTTTTTTTTTTTTTTTTTACTTGCACAGTTGACACAATATTGCATTAGTTTCAGGTGTACAATGTAGTGATTGAACCCCTCAATACATTATACTGCGCTCCCCGTGAGTCTAGCTATCATCTGTCACCATCATACAGAGCTATTACAATACCACTGGCTCGATTCCTTAGGCTATACCTTTTATTCCCGTGACTTATTCATTCCATAGCTGGAAGCCAATTTCCTTTCTCTAAAGGTTTTCTTTTGTCCTAGAGCTGTATCATGTATTTTAAAGGTGAATACAAATGCTCAGTTAGTTAACTCTTTTTTTAGGGGTAGAATTACTTTTTCCTTACATGTGGTCAGATGGGGAGGTTTTACGAACTTGGTTTCTACACTAGTTTCAGGGGAGAGAGGTAGCATGCAAAGTGGGTCTAAAATCTTAGGACGCTAAGAAAAATCAAGAACTTGTACCTTACCTTAAAAAGATTTAAACAAGTGAAAAGAGAACCAACTTTTAGCCACTCAAAGCATTTAGTTCTGCTTTCGTGTATTGCCAAATACTAAAAGAAACATTAATCTCCTATCTTTGGGTGAAAGTGGGCATCCTTTTTTTTTTTTTTTAAATGTTTTTTTATTTTGACACACAGAGGGTGTGGGGGAAGGGCAAAGAGAGAGGGGGAGAGAGAGAGAGAGAGAGAACCCCAAGCAGGCTCTACACTGTCAATGCAGAGCCTGACAAGGGGCTCCATCTCACGACTGTGAGATCATGACCTGCGCCAAAATCAAAGAGTTGGCTGCTTAACCGACTGAACCACCCAGTTGCCCCGAGGGCATCCTCTTCTTAAATTCAGAGCTGCTGTTCAGAAACATAGTCTTCCTGGTACATGAGGACTGGAGTCTGTAAGTTCACACAGAGCTGTGAGGATGCCTGGGGTCCAAAACACCCAAGGGGAACACAGAGGCCTGGCCAATGCCATTCTAGCATCTGGTGTCCATTGTTCAACCAAGGGAGTTTGGTTGAACAAAAGAATCCTCTCACCAGTCAGTGTTAGGAAAAATTAAGTAGCATTCTTTTTTAAATTTTTTTAATGTTTATTTTTTTGAGAGAGACAGAGCACAAGCAGGGGAGGGGCAGAGAAAGAGGGAGACACAGAATCTGAAGCAGACTCCAGGCTCTGAGCTGTCAGCACAGAACCCGATGTGGGGCTCGAACCCACGAACCTCAAGATCACGGCCTGAGCCGAAATCGGACACTCAACCGACAGAGCCACCCAGGTACCCCAACGGAGCCACCCAGGTACCCCAAGTAGCATTCTTTTCGAAGACATCCTTGAAAACCATCTCTTTCCTTTGCCTTGATTCTGCTTATATGAAAAAGAACTTTTGAATGGGGAATATTTGTACATGTAACCAATTTTAAAGGTAATGAAGTTAAAAGGTACAAAATACTATACAATGAAAAAAATCTCTTATCTTTGTTCCCTGAAGATCCGGTTTCCTCCAACAGAAGCAACCACCATTACTTGTTCCTCTCACACCCTTCCAGAGAGAATACAAGGATATCCAAGCATGTAAGCGCACACCCATGCACACACACAGCAATATAGCCTGTTTCCACCTTAATCTTTCCACTCAATTTGTCTTCAAGGTTGTTACTAAATTTATTCCTGCGTACTTCATTAGACAATTCTATGTGCCAATTCCTATTTCTATTTTTCCTATGATAATCTACTTACTATTTGTTTTCTGGTGTCATAATTGCAAATTTATATTTTTCTAGAAACTTATGCATCTCATCTATATTACTTTCATTTATTGGTAGAGTCAAGGAAGACAGTAACTTATGATCCTTTCAATTTCATCTCTCTGTGGTTAGTTGCTTATGCTCATTTCTTTTCTTTCTTTCTTTTTTTTATTTTTTTAACATTTATTTAATTTTGAGAGACAGAGACAGAGCACGAGTGGAGGGGGGGCAGAGAGAGAGGGAGACACAGAATCTGAAGCAGGCTCCAGGCTCTGAGCTGTCGACACAGAGCCTGATGCGGGGCTCGAACTCACAAGCTGTGAGATCATGACCTGAGCCGAAGTCGGATGCTTAACTGACTGAGCCACCCAGGCACCCTGCTTATGCTCATTTCTAACTTTGTGCATTGAGTAGGTAGGCTGATGCTTTATCTATTTTTGTGGGTTTTTCCCCCTTCCAATGAAGGAGCTCTTGGATTTATGTATTAGTGCTACATTTTTCCTCCTCTTTTCAAAATTAGAATTTCTGCTTTTATTTGTATTAATTTTCATTTTGTTCTCTTGGGTTTATTTTGTTACTCTTTTTTTAATGTTTTATTTATTATTATTATTTTTTAAATTTAATGTTTATTTATTTTTCAGAGAGAAAGAGACAGCACAAGCAGGGGAAGGGAAGGGAGAGAGGGAGACACAGAATCCAAAGCAGGCTCCAGGCTCTGAGGTGTCAGCACAGAGCCTGACGCGAGGCTTGAACCCACGAATTGTGAGATCATGACCTGAGTCAAAGTCAGAAGCTCAACCAACTGAGCCACCCAGGCACTCCTAATATTTTATTTATTTTTGAGAGAGAGAGAGAGAGAGAAGGGGAGGGACAGAAAGAGGGAGACACAGAATCTGAAGCAGGCTCCAGGCTCTGAGCTGTCAGCACACAGCCTGATGCAGGGTTTGAACCCACGAACCATGAGATCATGATCTGAGTTGAAGTTGGACACCTAACTAACTGAGCCACCCAGGTGACCCTATTTTGTTATTCTTTTTCAAATATCTTGCATTAGATGCCTAATTCATTTATTTTCACATTTTTTGGATTAGTCAAAGTATTTAGTGCTTCAATGTTCTTCTGAGCAATAGGCTTGATATCACATATAGGAGTTTCCGTTATATATAATGATAACACCATATTCCCATTTATTATATATTCTAATATGTATTAAGTAAATATTTCCATTATACTTAATTATGATATATTATTTACTTATTTTCTAGGTATTGCTAGTTTTAGGGTTTGAGTTCCCTTTTGATCCAAGAATTATTAAGAGTTAAAGCATTTCTAGGTCAAGCATTGGCTGTATTACTCGTATTTTGTGAAATTACCTGAGGTTTTCTTTACGGTCTCAGATATGGTGAATTTTTATTGTGAATTTCATCCTTTTTTTTTTTTAAGTTTATTTATTTATTTTGAGAGAGAGTGAGAGACAGAGCAGGGGAGGGGCAGAGAGAGAATATCCCAAGCAGGCTCTGTGCTGTCAGCGCACAGCCTGATGTGGAGTTCAAGGTGCAGTTCGTGCGAGGTCATGACTTGAGCCGAAATCAAGAGTCAGAGCCACCCAGGCACCTTGTGAATTCTGTCCTTTATCATTACAAAGTGTCTTGCTTTCTGTCCTGAGATCAGCCTTTACTGATGTTAAGACTGAGACCCCCTGCTTTCATTTGGCTTTTATTTGCTTGGTTTGCTTTTGAAATCTCATGTTTTCAACCTTTCTGTACGACTTGGTTAATACACAGCCTTCCCTTGGGGTTTCCTTTGTGATTCAATCTGAGAGACTATTGTTTAATAGAGGCGTTTTATGGCATTACTATGACATATACATGTTCTAAGTATTCTTAGTCTGTCATTACATTTTATGGTATGCTTTTTGTGTTCATGAATTCTAGTTGTTTACTTTTTGAAATCTTTTTACTATATGGTGTGTATATATGTGTCTTTCTGATAAGTGAGACAGTTTGTAATTTTGTTTTAGTGGTAACATCTTTATAGAAGAAACTTCAATATAATATATGTAACCCTCTGTTTCTTAGAATTTGCTAAGCTTCTTCCTCTCTCTCTCCTCTTTGCTACCTGACTTGGGTTTCTGCATCTTTCAACTAAGAATCCAAGTAAAGTCACTTTGTTTCCCAGTAGATGGTGCTAGAGACACAGTATAAAGAGCGTGCTTAAACCCTGATCAGTTTTGGGAGAATGAATAGTTGTTTTTTTTGGGTCCCTCAGGCCATAAGGCCAAATCCTGGATGGTAGTTACTTACCTGTGTGCTACTGTCTTGTGAAGTTTGGGTGACCAACCACCTCTCACACCGATTTTTTTTTAATTTTTAATTTTTTTAATGTTTATTTTTGAGAAAGAGAGAGAGAAAGAGGGCCAGCAGGGGAGGGGCGGAGAGAGAAGGAGACACAGAATCTGAAACAGGCTCTAGGCTCTGAGCTGTCAGTACAGAGCCCAACATGGAGCTTGAACCTATGAACTGTGAGACCATGACCTGAGCCAAAGTCGGAGGCCCAACAACTGAGCCATGCAAGTGCCCCTCACACTGATTTTTAAAAAGGCAAAATGTTTCCTTATGAAAAACTTAGTCCGGGAAAAAGCAGCAGCTGTTTTCATGGGCTCAAGAAGACTGTAGTCTTACCAACTCATATTCTGAGTATTAATTTCTGTTATGCTTTCCTCCCTAACTTTATATGGTATTCACAATATTTAGTTCCTTAAAGCCATACTTGACTCAAAATCTGACCCTTATGACAGTCCCAATGTAATATTGCACAAGTCAGTCATGATTACTTATTTCTCTTGACTTCAAGGTAAAAATAAAGTCATGGAATGTTCATGAAGGAGGGTTCTAGGGTCTATTTCAGGTCTGTTTACCTGATACTGAGCAATCTACAAATCAATGTTAGCTTTTCTCTCTGTAAAATGAAGCTATTATTTGCTGCCTATACATGACATGGAAATACTCAACAAATGAAATACTTGAATGGTTTCAGGACAATGGCATAAATAAACAGGCCAAATTTGCGGATGCATCTATAACACAAAGGAGAGCCTAGAGAGGGGGTAAGAC